TGCATATTGCATATATGCAAAACTGTCCCATCGTGGAAAACTGAATACAAGTGGATGATTACCAATGATACTGTCAAAGAGAAGACAAGAGTATTGTAAAGTATTTCTGACATGAATGAAAGTTACTGCAGTGACACTGATTGAATTAAATGTAGTGAAACGATTGAAAATATTGAAAACATAAACAAGGCTGCTAAATTTTTAGCAGAGGAAAAACCATTTTGACAAATTTTAAACACTGCCATAGTACCCCCATTTGACATTGGTTTTGGTGGGGAAATGGCATGTTTTTTTCAAATCAAGAAATTAGTAGTTTTTGAAAGATTAACTGAGTATTGAAATGAATGTAACGATGATAACAGCTCATTGTAGAAACAAAGTTTACAAATTCACACTAGTCGCAATAAACATTGTACTGGAATAGACATCAGTGACTACGAAAAAAATAAATTATAGCGGATTATGCCGTAAATTCAATCAACAATCACCCTTGTCGGTTTCACGGCTGGTGGGCATTTATTTGGGGTTCAAATTTTCAAAAAATTATCATCAAATATTTTTAGCGGGCTTATATTTTCATTGAAAAATCCACCTACGCCGATTTTCAATGCCGGCAGTTGGACCACCCAAAACGAAACTATTACAGAAGCTAATCTAAAATTGTATACATTTTTTTCTAGCTGGATTAAAAAGTAGACCGCGCATCTTTCTCCAAAAAAATCACATTAACAAATTTTGTGTGCCAAATACAATTATTTTGTTTCATTTTATTAGTAACGAACGTATATTCTAAAAAAAGTTTCAAATAACATCGAACACAACTGCATTGCTTAGAAGCAAAAGATCACGGTCAGTGGTGGTAGTGTAATTCGGTCATGCTGTGTTTACACAAAAGTTGAACATTACCTAGTAATGATTATAATAACGTACAAAAAATAAATTCGTTGAATTGTTATGAAATGCAAATAAATTTATTTCATCGTATGCGAATAATTCCGATCGCATTTTCAACGCTCGATGCTGTAGGTCTCATGCGACTAATCAACCAATGGCTCTGTATTTGGATGTTCTAACTTGGTGTTTTTCCAGTGATTTCTCTCGGTGCAATCCAAATACAGTAGGTGTGTCTTGTTTATCTGAGATTTGTAAGAGTTTGAGCTGGCCAACATGTTATTTTTTTTCATGTGGTTGATTACTGGCATGTTGATTTCCCATTTTTGAGCCATGTTTTCAACTTTGTTCATCATTTTCATATAGCAATCTCGTCATATGTTAACATAGTCGTCTACGGAAATTCAATTAGTGGTATGAGCCGTGTAGAAATAAATATCCGCCATGTTTTGACCTGAAATGGTGTTCTTTAACCTGACAGGTAAAATCGATGATTAGCCAATGAAAACGATGGATGATGCCAATATGTTATCGTTATTGAACGCAGCACAGAAGAAATTTGCCGATGTTGTTGCTGTACGATCTTTTGGCTTGGATTTTGATGGCAAAGCGGCATGATTTGTTTTTAAATAAAAAAAATTAGTTGTTTTCAAAAGATAAACTGAGCAATTGAAGAATAATTTAACATTGTTTACAGCAAGGACATCTCATTGTCGAAACGAAGCTAACCCATTCACACTAGTCGCAATAAACTTCTCTTGTATAGGCGTAAATGACTACGGCGAAACTTTTAGGCATCAGAAAAGATTAAAATACCGGTAACACCTTAAAAAACTGCCGAAAAATCGCCCTGGGCGGTTTCTTGGTCCCATTTTATTTTTTTTTAAACGGGAACTGATGTTTAGCGGCCCTGGGCGAATTTACGGCAGAATCCGGTACTATATTTAGGCACTGGGAAAGAATGAAATGTTAGAAAAATAACGCCTAAATGAAGGTGTTTTTATATTCAAAATAATTATATTTTAATGATTCAGTATATACTGTAAAATCCATATTAGAAGTACCAGTAGCATTCCTAATACCGATAGAAATCGCTCCCATTCTTTTTGAACAATTGAGAACTAAAAATTAACACTAAAAAGCCATACACTGCAATTATTAGAAAATAATAATGAAAAATTGAAGTCTACTGACATAATGTAACTGACATTTAAAAAAAAATACAGTTGGTGGATAAATTTTATTTATTTTATATATTTTTTTTTCATTATTCAATGTACAGGGATGCATCTATTGCTATGTTCACACGGCAGCATTCTATCGGAGCCGAACTACTGCTCCTACTGATTAACAGGAGATTATCTCCAATGCGTTCATACGGTCGGAAGCCGAACGAGAGCCGAGATCTGTCAGAGTTCGATTCAGTTCGATCAGAGCCAAACAGTGTCCTCGAATAATGAGTATGAAAAAACTGTACTGAAATCGATTTTAGTGTCGTGTTTGTCTTGTTTCTTTACATGGCACGATGCTGATGGGCTAGGAAAAAAAAAGTCGCGAGTCTGAGCATGGAGGTGGAAAAGACAATGCACTAATGTTATTATTTAGGTACATGTACTAGTACCTCGAATAAACAGAAAACACGGCAGCTAAAATGTGTTACAACCTATTATTTATTGTCATGCAAAATTACCATTTTGTAATTATTCAACTGTAAGTGATATCTACTACAATGTAGTATTATGAAGAATCACAGTCCCTCTATCCTTTCTATATATCATAGAGGGACTGCGGAAGAATCTAAACATACTAGATCGCTTCTACAATTTTTTCTTTGGTGTCTTTAAAAAGTTTTCGTTCAGTCGTTCTTTCAAGTTTTTCTTGCATAATGTCGTACGCCATTTTCCCGTTTTCCGTCGAGCTATCAATCAATCTGGCAGTAATTCTTTGCTCTGCCAAGTGTATATTAGGGCGCGTAACACTTCTTCAAGCCGGAAATTGCGTGAAATTACGAAATATGTTGTCTCCGCCATAATTGAAATGATAGGTTACTTGGAGAAGACGATTGAGGGCATGATTTCGGCTCCGATGGTTGGGCCCTGATGCGTTTACACGATCGGAGCCATGTCAGGACTCAACCCTATTCGAGTTCAACCCCGAGGGTTTAGTGGAGCCGAACTTGGCTCGAGCCGAACGCGTTCACACGGCCATTTTTGCTGGCTCGAGCCATAGGGCTCCGATAAAATGCTGTCGTGTGAATATCTGAATAATTAAGTATAAAATTAATGCAATTAATCGTTTACATGCGTTTCTATTGGAGGTGCGGTTTTAATATCTAGAGCAATTATGGAATACATTGCTATGTTCACGTTAAGGGATCTTGGCGCATGTTGAAATATTTAATCCTTTGTGTTTGCAGAGGAATTACAGCAGTTGCATTCACATTAGTCAGTACCCACTTTGGACCACCTCGGTATGTGCCAAAATCACGCCCTCATTTTTCAATCAATTATTTGACCCAAAACATGAAAAACGATACACATAAGATGATAATAATAATTCCTATATTGAAATTATATATAAACATTTTGTATTATATTTGCTGTTTTGGTATTTACTAGTCATCCTGCACATGAACAGCAATGAAGAATCAAAAAGAAATTATTTGTTTACATTGATGTAGCATTTCAAAAAAAAAAAAGGTTGCAGCAGCACATAAGTATGTGTCGTTGACAACGTTCTGCATTAATTTTATTCATTACTACAGCTTATGAAAATATCTAGCTGCACTTCCTTCCATCGTTATATCATACTTAATGTAGTATGAATCAGTATATGTTCTCCTAAATTCACCTCCGAGTGTGTGATTTTGGCTCGTGTCGAGCGTTCAGGCAGCAAGTTTCGGTCCTGAGCATCTATTGGGATAAAGATCAAGGGGGCCATTTCACAATCAAGTGTACCATTTGGATTTGTGAAGTGTTACAAGCTCCTTGTATGAAACCTTTTTTTGTTTAAGTATGGTAGTATCATACCTTGTTGACGATAAAAACTAAACAAAAATTGTGGAAATCTCTTAATATTTGGCGAAGATATTAATGAATTTAGCACCCCAAATTGGCTATTTTTGGCTGTTATGAGCAGCCACTTGCATTTTCCTTAATTTTGAGAGAAAACACACATTATGAATTTATTAAAAATTCTACATAAATGTTCTATCTAAATCCTAACTTAGTAACATGTCTTTTGATGTTTGAAGCTCACTATTAAGAGAAGTTTTGCAATTTCTGTCCTCAATGACAAAATTTGTAAAAAGCGCCACCATTTGTTACGATTTTTATACTTTTCATTCTGGCTTAGCTAAATTCGTTCAGAATTATACCATTTATGCTATAAAAACAACAAATGTATCACTAATATGTAGCCCATGCTATGGCCACAACTGGGAAGGCAGCATATCCTCACCAGGAAATTTGAAATATGAAAAGCATACATTGAAAAATAACTCCTCTACAGTCTCCAATTTTGCGTCCGTACCCCCCCCCCCATGTATTTTTTCAACTGGTGTGTACTTTTAGCCATCAAAGTCATGTATTTGTGTGTTCCACTTCTCATACTTAAATGCAGTATATGAACAACATATACCATAAAAGGATGAAAAACTATACCATAATTAATGCTCAAATGTAGTGTCCATACCCCTTGTAGTGTCCGTACCCCTTGTAGTGTCCGTACCCCTTGTAGTGTCCGTACCCCTTGTAGTGTCCATATCCCTTGTAGTGTCCAATCCATATCTCTTGTAGTGTCCAATCCATACCCCTTGTAGTGTCCGTACCCCTTGTAGTGTCCGTATCCCTTGTAGTGTCCGTACCCCTTGTAGTGTCCGTACCCCTTGTAGTGTCCGTACCCCTTGTAGTGTCCGTACCCCTTGTAGTGTCCGTACCCCTTGTAGTGTCCGTACCCCTTGTAGTGTCCGTACCCCTTGTAGTGTCCGTACCCCTTGTAGTGTCCGTACCCCTTGTAGGGTCCGTACCCCTTGTAGGGTCCGTACCCCTTGTAGTGTCCGTACCCCTTGTAGTGTCCGTACCCCTTGTAGTGTCCGTACCCCTTGTAGTGTCCGTACCCCTTGTAGTGTCCGTACCCCTTGTAGTGTCCGTACCCCTTGTAGTGTCCGTATCCCTTGTATGGTATGTTTCTTAAAATTAATGGCAAATGAAGAAAAATGCAGTTTGTGCAAAAATATTTTAGCATGGCATGCCCAAGGTATGTAGCTATGAAAAAGTGTTATTAACTAGCTGATATGTTGAAGATGAATTTTATCCCTTTGTTGCTGCTAAATAGTACACTTGATTGTGAAATAGCCGATTGGCATGTGCCGACTCGGTCCTGATCGTTCACATACACATTTTGGTACATGTCGAGATCTCTAACGTGAACACCACTCATGTATCCATGGAAATTAGCCGCATTTCATATGCAAGTTAACTGCCATATGTAACCATCAAGAAGAAGAAAACACTGAATAAGACACATTAATATTAACCTACATACAAGTTTCAACAAATGAAATTAAAATTGGTAAAAACATAAAATTGTCACATCTTCATTATATTGAGTAAACGAGGCATCGGATAAGTCAACACATTTATTGCATTTCCTAAGGACTGACCAGATCACCCATAGTGACCAAATGGCAGAAAATTAAACAAACTCAATAGATCTTTCATGTTTGACCCCTACACAGACCATAGACCAAAATATTTATTAAACTAAATTAAACTTGAATAAGTCACTCTTAATAGAGTGCATATATACCACTCATAATCAGTGTTCAGTACGGAATATAACAATTATGATATTTATGAAATGAACCCGACACACTCAGTGTACTTATAATGATGCACAGTCTCACAACCATACCTCTGCCACAAAGCACATTTTTGGCAATTTTCCAAAAAAAAAAAAAAACCTCTTCCCAATACCTGAATGGCGTGACATTCTTGAGTTAAACTGCCTAATACCATTGAATCCTCACTCAGTACAATGCTGCAAGTCAACAGATTCCAGGTAAAAAAACACAACAAATGACAAGAAGTCTTACGTACACTAAATAAAGAAAACCACTAATACTACTTGTAACTGTGAGACTGACTGCACTCAAATTGAATATTCTAATATCAAGTTCAAATAGTCCACTAAAATTCAAAACTTTTCTGTGCCACATAAATGAATGCCTGGGGGCTTTTGTATGTACATGTACAAGAAATTAACAAGTAAAATTCACACCCTATAGCTGTACACATAGCATCATTCAGGTGAATCAAACAACTATATTGTATACTCTAAATAGCCTCAATGAATTTATAAATACAACAACTATATTCACACTTAAACCACTCGTCCAGTGTTTTGGGACATGTATATTACTAATAAGTATAGCACTCAATCACGTCCACTGCCTGTAGGTGCAACAAGGTATAAATGAAATCAACACAATATGTATCACTAATATCTGATGATACTTTAGTACCGATGTTATCTGCAACACATTGGATCACAAGTCCTTCTTACTTGAGGAGATGCCTAACAGAGTTTGGAAGATTAAAACATATTCTAAACAATCAATGACTATGCTTACAACACAGATAATATTAAAAACAATATCATATTCTGTTAATTTTTCCTATTTAATGGAATAGCCAACACATGTAAGATACATGCAAATTAGGCAAATACATGTACTTCAGTTAGAAACCCTGGAATTATGTAAGAATATCAGATAGAATTTCTAACAATGGTCAATTCTGTATTATTTTCAGGATACAACTAAATCATTAAATGCCACGTAAGTAACATGGTACTGATCTTGTTGTACAGAGAAAACTAAATAACAGTGGGATTCATGATAATTTACAATTAATGGAGGCTGTGCTATGTGACAGCTTGTAAAGATTTCAATCTCAGCCTGTAGCTGTATAGCTACTACAAATGCAATTCTGGGTCAGCAGCAATAGCACACCTATTGTGCTGTAACAATCAAGCTATTGTGTTACCTTTAAAAAAATTAGTTTTTTTTTTTCCACTCAACAGTAATCGAGCATACAACACAGAGTGAACCATGGAGATAATGTTTTCTATATGAATGGTCGAACAAGAGACTTATACACCAAGGACTCATGGTTCATTGTAAAAAAAAAAATATTCACTCTCAGATTGTTATCAGGTTTATTGTTCCCTGATTTTTCAGCAAATTACGCAATATAATACCTAGTGAATAATTAAGCCTATACAATATGCGCAGACATATATACACTGGCAATTTTCAAAGACATCTTACAAAATCAACATCAGTATCACACACTATTTTGCTATTAATTAAAAAAGAAAATTAATAGTTTGTTTAAGAATGATTAGTAATCATTTATCCTTTACAAACAATGAAAATTAAAATCAACTGGGTGGTGACTAGTGTGTACTTGAATGGCACCCATATAGATTTCAATAAATTTATCCCTGCATTAACAACTGTAAATTTTTAGTGTGATTAAATTATACTAGGGACAATATGAATGTTTCAGTCCATCACAAATAAATTGAAACTATTTTAAGACAATTTCCATCAAGTATTTATAAATAATATGGTTTCCAATTTTCAACAATTTTTTTTCAATAAACATGCATAACATGTTTAGAAATTCAACTTACAGTGCATATGTTTTAATGCTAAACTGATGTTTGCAAGGTATTCATCAATACCATAATAGTATTGATTGACTTGTAATATTGCACAATAACTTGAAGAATACATCACATTAGATAAACTTTAAAAACATGTGTTTGCACGGTGTAGTTATATAATATTTTAATATTTCAAATTATACTCAATTGATTGATTAATTTTAATATATTGTGTTAAAAAGTAAAACAAATAATAATGACAAATATGTTTTTACATCTACGGTTATGATAACAGCAATTGTACCATTCATGGTTAAAATTGTATGCTCAGTTTTTCGTTCAAAATGGCGTCAAAAAGCTGAATGGCGCGACGCTGTTTACGTTTGGAAATAAAGTTGTATATCAATATACTTGTGGGATAATTCCCCAATTGTCAAGCATTCGGGAGAAAATGTAGTATTATGCACGTTAATTGTGACGGGTACGATGGCGTCCCTCTCTGTCTCGTTGCTACGATATGGACAGACAGGTCCAGGCAGATTGCGGAAGTCCGTTTTATGCCACGACCAAATGTACGACCTTTTCGAGGTATAAAAAAACTACGTACCCGAGATGAATCGTCTGTACCATCACCATCTTCAAGTTTTTGGAGTCGATCTAGGTAAAGTCCCTTGAATTCACTGAGTAAACCCTGCATTTCACTGCCACTACGCGTGCCCATCGATCCTCCTGGTCCAACTGGCCGCGTCAAACTAGATCCTGTGCCAGCTCTTCGAGGACTGCTTGTGAAAGATCTATCCACCATTTTGGCTCAAAACAGGCCGAAAAGAGTGTCTTAATTTCTGCTAATCTCCAAAGAGAACATAAATAATATGGAAGATCAAGAACTGGTCCAGATATTATGTTACACTACAGGAATACAATCTGAACCCAACCGAGTTATGAAAGAATGGACGCGATCAACACATAAACAACGGTCATTGGCTCATTGACACTTTTTGCTGTTCCTTATAGCGGAATTCATCCCGATTCGTCCACGTTGAAAGATGCACAGTGAATATATTCAAATACAGAGTAAATCGCTTTTTCACAATATTAGTACATATTTTTCTGAACATAATTTCAATAAACATGTATACATAATACCAACTTCTGTGAACATATTTCAATAACACAACACACCACCAACGCAATATAGACATTTGATGGAACAGCCAAAAAAAGAATACGTCGATCACGTGACTCAAGGGGTGTCCCTAGAATTCATGAATCAACTCGTACAGTTGTACTGTTATCGTTATACCGTTACGCGAGTGCATTGTAGTCGTGAAAGCAGTGCAGAGTAGCCATATAGATTGTAGAATCTCTCGTTCACACCTGTCTTGACTAGTCGTCCGTAGTCTAGATCCAATTGTTGTAATCGAATCATCTTACGCAATTTTAATCCAATGGGATTATCCCGGGAGATTTTAAGAACATTATTCAATCGTCTTATACACTGTACGTGTTTTATGTATTCTCTATCAACTCATATTTAAATTGTAAATTTTAGTTTAAGCGCAAGACAGACAAGACATCGTTCGACGCTTGAATACGAGAACATGTTGTAACATAACACCCAACAATCAACCGAGTATGTACAAAAACACTATGCAGACTGTGTTCAGACAATGAAATCAAACACAGTATGATACATATTGAAACATTGCTAGTACTACTACTAGTAATTGATTTTAGATCTCACACAGTAGGAACACAACTTTGGGTTTTTTTCAAACAAGTTTGGTTACAAAGTATCACATTCACCTGACGGCCAAATCCACAACGCAGTATTATACAAGTATTATACCAGTGGCGGCACCAACCCG